ATGGAAACAGCTCAGGCAGACAGCCTTCGTCTCACTGCATGCCTGCTGCTGATAGAAGCTAATGGATCACATTGAATCCAAATGGATTCAAGTGGATCCCGCTGGATCCCGCTGAATTCCACTGGATCCCACTGGAACCCGCTGGATCCCGCTGGATCCCACTGGATCCCACTGGAACCCGCTGGATCCCGCTGGATCCCACTGGAACCCGCTGGATCCCGCTGGATCCCACTGGATCCCACTGGATCCCGCTGGATCCCACTGGATCCCGGGATCCGCTTTTTCCCCCTTGCCCTATATAGATAGATTGACTTGATGGCGAATCAGAAATAATATTTAATTCGGTGATTGGTTTAGTAGATTTTTCATTTAATAACTCATCTAATAAATCATGAATTGCTGCCCATGTACTTTCTGATTGATGATTTGTTTCATCAGATAAGCATCCAAAACTAAAGCAGTTATTCTGCTGCCAAACATAGCCTGCTGCTATTGAAATTTGTTGTTCATAGTAGTATGCAGCTGAAAATAAAAAGTGTTTCAAGTGATTCTAAACAATATTGCTTAGATATTTATAAAGCCTTACAACGTTCCTGCCTGGTTTGTTTTAAATGATAATTTTCTGACCAATCCAATTGTATAGTTGCTACACTATCACTTGTCAATGCTAATTGTCGAATTAATTTAGCACTTTTAAATTGAAGACGAACTAATTCCATATATTGTTGCAGATCCTAAATAATTAACAAGCAACAGTAGCAGTTAAAATTATCCTCATTAAATTGTTCTTTCAAAATACTCACAGATAGTTCTTCACTTAATTTTAAACAAAAAATATGCATTTTGTTTTTCATCGTTGTTTTTGTCGAAACAAATCCACTACTTTTTTCACCTTTTTTTAATCCATTCGACATCATTTATTGTAAATGGTTCTGCTTTTAAAAAATCCAATTCTTTCAAGATTTCTTCTACTTTTTTCTTATCATCAATAATTGATGTTAAATCATTTGTCATTAAAGATGATAAACAATTAAAGGCAGGATACTTATTTTTCAGTTGATTGATTCTATCGGATTTAATCTGTGGATTTAAACATTTCATACAGAGACAAGTACCCCATTCATTTGGTTCAGGTGAAACAATATATGATGGAATATGTCGGGTGAATATTGAATAAGAACAATCATAGTTTATCTCCATAATAAACTTTTGATGAAGATTAATCAAAAGAATTACAAATATCGTGCTTGTTTTTCATCAATAATTCTTTTTTTATCTAGTGCCAATCGTATGATCTTATCATTATTTAGAAATTGTTCGATAGCTTCATCCAATTCTTTTGATAAAGTTGTTGTTTTTGTTGTGGGTAAATTTTGATTCGATAGCTAAAACATAAACAATTTTCAACAATACGAGATGATTAAATTATCAGCAACATACATTTATACCAAATTTATTTCGAATATTTACGATACCATCTGAAGGTAAATTCTCTTTTTGCACCATCATACGTGCTGTAGCACGACGTTTAGCATTGAGACTAACATTTTGGAAAAAAAATTTTGATGGTGATACGATTGATGTACTATGTAAGCTTGTTTGTTGGGATGTTGGTGATGATGATGACAAATTAATTATTTGTGCTTTCAGTTTTTTATTTTCCATTTGCAATTATTCATTTTCTTCTCGCAATTTTTTATTTAAATTCTTTAAATTGTTGCTTACTGATTTTAATTGTGCAGTAAATCTACGACGGCGTTGACGACTTTCAATTTTCCGACTGTCAGTTCTTGATATCGTAATTGTTGATGCTGTAAGCATTGATTGTTGTTGTTGTTGCTGCTTTTTTTGCTCGATATGATGCTTTTCTTGCTGATTTTTTTTTAAATATTTTTTGTCGAAATTTTTACACTGTAAGCGTTTCAATCGTATTTTCTGTCGATATGTTCGACAATAATCAACATTGCTTTTTCTCTTTTCTTTCTTTAGCACCATTTTGTAAACATTAATCTATTTTGAAAGTAGACAAACAGAGACAAAACGTAAAGACTTATGCGGATTTTCAGATACTATAAGATTATGAGCGATTTAAGTGTCAGTGTAACATGTAAATTTATTTCATAATACTAAGAGAAAGAAAAAGCAGCTCGAAGGCAGTCAGGGTACGAGAATATCAGTAACTGTGAACATCTCCGAGTCCCAGAAGAGTCGGCTGAACGTGAAAAATGCCACAATAACTACTCATCGTCAATAAATATAATTAAAATCTGTTAGGATATATTCATATGAAAATCTGTCGGGACATTTTTCGTGTAAAATACTGTTTTCTCACGAACGGTACATTTCTAAAAACTGAAATTTTCACCATGGCTCTAGAGTTTAGTCTGTTCAAAATGGTAAAAAAATCTATGCTTCATCTGTTGTAGTTATTGAGAAATGAAGGTAATGAGATCAGAAATCTGTCGGAACTTTTAGTGGAACCATAGCTAGCTGTTCCTCTTGTTTTTATTATTTTGTTCAATCGAAAGTTCTCTGAAAAAAACAATTTTTACTAAAAAGTTTCGAGCCCTGCTATCTTTCGAATACAAGAAGAAAATTAGAGTTTACTTCTAAATTGGCATTAGTAGCTTCAATCTAATCTGTCGGAACATAAAATAGCCCTTCAGTATGTCTAGGGAGTTTTTGCAATATTTGATTGATATATTTAAATGAAAATCATATTTAACTTATATAGGGAGAAAGAGAAAAGCCTTGGCTACAAAATAGCTCTAAAAAATAATTTTTGTCCAATGAAACTTATGGCAAAGAAAAGTAATTTTTTGTTAATAGGGGGCGCAAGAAACAATGAAATTGTTCCTTTTCTTCTTCAAAACATTACATTAATAGTAGCCTAAAGAGCTAGTAGTCTATTTGGTAGATGGTCTAGACAATAAGGAATTTAAAAAAAGAAAATTTATCGCAATCTATTGACCAGAAGCTAAGATATGACGATTTTACTGCCAGTGACCCAACGGTACAATACGAGCGCAATTCACCCATATGAACAGTGTCAACAAAATAAACTTTCAGAGCACGCGTATCAACTATAAAAATTCTTATATTCTGATTTATTCATCTGCTTAGTATTTTTTTAATAACTTATTTTAAAATCTCTGATAATATATATATTAAATTTGTAACATTCAGAGTTTGTGAGTTTCACATTTTTGCTCCTCTTGGGGCCACACTGACAAGTTTTTCGTTGTACTATTGTAATTATTCGATAAATATGATGTTGATCGACCAAAGTAACTGTATTCCATATAAATAGACATCCATAACAATTGGTTGAGTTTCATTATTATGTGAATAATCATTTTTATCGCTCTAATTAAATAAAAATAAACTAACGATGGATGTAGAACAATAATAAAGTTGATACTTGCTTCATTTTCATATATAAATTCAAGTGTACCCTCATTTTCATCATCATCATCACAATCAATATCTATTTGATTTTCCATTTGAATATTTTCTTGTATATCTTCATCATAACCATCATCAAAATAACATTTGTTGACTAATGACAATGTTGATTATTGTTTATTGTTTTTGCTACTGTGTTTTCATCCGAGATAAAAAAAATCCTTATAATACAATGAATTCTTCTTTTTAAATTTTTTTGGTTTGACAACATGTAGTACATGTGAACGACATTATTGCACCTGTTGTCATACAGAAATCTGGAAGAAATTGAACAAGATAACAATATCATTTATAACAAATAGATATTGAAAACTAATAGATGAAAGGAAAATGGTCCAAATTTGGGACAGCTTCGACATGTGCTTTCATTCAGCATATAATAAGCCACCACTATGGCGAAAATTAAAGAGAGCTGCACAAGCAAAACGTTTTTGATCTAAAAATCAAGTTTAGAGAAATCGCTCCCTAATTAGAAGTATATCATTCGATTATAAATTAAATTTAGAAGTTTTCGATACCTAAATTGTAGTATAGGGATCATTTGGCCAAAACTATGAATCAAGTGCATAAATGACGTTACAATCTGACAACAAAAGTATGACTCATCTAGGATCTGACAGCTTACCAGATCACAAATAAGACATTATAGTTGATATTTTCTCTTGTTTTTGTAAACAAGCAAGTAAACAGCGATTCATAGTCTATTTTACATTGGTGGAATAATAGTGAAAAATTTTTGAATATCGATTCTACCAATGT